TTTTTTAGCTTCTACTCTCCCATTCTGCCTTTTAATAAATATCACAATTTTAAAATTAAGCCTAAAATTTTTGACATTTTTCTACTAAAAGGTGAATCCCATGTGTTATCCTCTTGAGTTTGGTGTATTTGGTCTGTATCCACTAAGAGAGTACAATGGAGATAACTAGGTGATATCTTAAGACTTCTTCAAGTGATTTCTTAGGGCAATGAATTCTGTGCCTCCTTGCCTGGAAAGCTCTCCCTGTAAAGCACTTATTTGCCATGTAAGCAGCCCAAATGCCAAAAGGCTGCATGTTGGAAGAACATGGAAAAGTTCTGGGGTAACAAGAGAAGAAATGTCTGACCAGCCACCAGCTTTCCCATCATCCAATAGCTCTACTCTAACTCACCATACTCTTTTTTTCCAACATCAGGACTGATGCAGAACTCTTCCCAAATTTCTGAGCCTCTAACAGTTTTAGAAATCATCATATAATTGTTGGTTTAAGCCACCAAGTTTTATGTTGGTTTGTTACTAAGCAGGTAGAGATTCTACCATTTTGGAAGAGCTACAGATTTCACTTAGTATCCTTGGTGGCCAGATGTGGCAGCATGACTAGGTTCCTGCCAGTGAGCCGTGTGCAAATCTGGGACATCTCCTTACAGATTACTTTGCCAGGTATCTTTACTTTTTCCTTCTAGCTAAGTGGGAGATGCAAAAAACTAGAGCAAATTCAGAAATCACATGGTGAGGATGAAAAAACCACCCTGATATGCCAGGGCCTCTCACCTCTGGACTATTAGATTAAGGGAAAATAAATTTCTTTCATACTCAAATCACTATATACTGATGTTTGTTAGAGCACTTAAGCTCATATTGAAATAAATACAATGATATACAATACAGGTAGGTGATTTTTAATATTGAAAAAGTTCATTAGTATATATTTTTTCAGCAATGTATACATCTATGTCCATTTATTCCATTTAGCTTTTCTCTCTTAAAAAAAGTTTGGTAGTTTGTTTTTTGTATAGTTGTTATGCATATTTTGGTACATTAATCCCAGAATGTTCTATATTATTCGTGTAATGAAGGAGTTTTTAAAAATATTTATTTATTCTACTTTTTAACTAATTATTAATGTGCCATAAAATCACATAGATTTTCATGTAATGAAATATAATCAATCAGTTCAATAACGAATGCTTATATCTCTTTGCTTTTACCAGCATTGTGTGATACTACTTACTCTTGCTCTCTGGCTCACCTTCTTTCTGAAATATAAGATTGTATCTGATAAGCCTTTCTTTTTTAACATGGTAAAAAAGAATACATGACACAAGCTCTACTATCCTCATACAATTTGAAGTGCAAAGTATAGTGTTTTTAACTGTATGTATGTTGTGGTACAGCAGATCTCTAGATTTTTTCATCTTGTATAACTAAAACTCTATGCTCTTTGAACAAGAACTCTAGCATTCGACTTGCTGCTTCTATAAGTCTAACTATTTAGATAAAGCATATGCCGTATTTTGTTGTGTATAATGTGCTCTATTTTCCCTAAATCTTTGAGGGGAAAATAAGGATGCACATTACATATGGCTATAATGGTTACATACCATGTGTGTAATGATGGGTATAATAATCCTGTGTATAATGTGCACAAAAACATGAGTGTGCATTATACACAGCAAATATGGTAAGTGAAATTATGGAGTATTTGTCCTTCTGTGATTGGCTTAGTGAACTTAAAATAATATAATCAAAGCTCATTTATGTTGTAGTATATGACAGGATTACATTTCATTATTAAAGCTGAATAACATTTCATTCTGTGCATATATCATTGTTTCTTTTTTCATTTAACTATTGTTGAACATTTGGGTTGGTTGTACCTCTTGGTTATTGTGAACATGAATATGCCAAAACCTCAAAATCCTGTTTTCAATTATTTTGTGCAAATATACCCAGAAGTATAATTGCTGTATCATGTGATAATTCTAATTGTATTTTTAAGGAACATCCATTCTTTATTCTTGATTCAGAACACCTCACACAGCTACAGGAATCAAAATCATATTTGGGGCTGGGTGAAAAATGTGAAAGGATTAAACAAAAAAAATATGGACACAATCAACAGTATGGTGATTATCAGAGAAAAGGGGGATGAACAAAAGTAGAAGAGGGTATAAGGGGAAAACAGTGATAAAAGGAGACTGAACTTGGAATGGTGAACATGCAATACAATATATGAGGTCTATCTGGAAAAAGTCCAGCCATTGTTAACATAATGAGAATAGTTTGCATGACATTGCTATAACCTGGGAGTCGAGGAGAGTGGAATGGAATGTGCAAGCATGAACAATGACAACATCAGCCTACCAGTCAGTGGAGATGCAGTTAGTGGTAGATGCAGTTGAGTGCTATGTACTAAATATGTACTGTGTGGCTGCCACATTCAAAATGACTGAGTGAGTAGAGTTATGAATCTGCATCAAATTTTGTGTTAATCTTGAAAATTCCTCCACATAAACTATTCAGATGATTCAGAAGGCCTCAGATATGGGCAACTGGTGATTGGCAACTTCATCACAACAACACACTCACTCATGCATCACATCTCATGCATCAATCACCTTTCACACAGAGTATTTTGGTGAAACATCACCCAGGTGACTTAGCCCCACTACAGCCAAGACTGGTTGCCCTGGGACTTCTGGCCTTCCCCCAAACTAAAATCACCTTTGAAAGAGAAGAGATTTCTGACTGTTGATGAAATTCAGAAAAATATGACAAGGCAGTTGATGGCCATTGGGAGAACTGTGTGAGTCCCAAGGTGCCTACTTTGAAGTGGACTGAGGGATGATTGTCCCAGGTACAATGTTTTTTGTATCTTGCATCTTCTTCAATAAATGTCTCATTTTTCATATTACATGGCTGGATACCTTTCGGATAGGTCTCATACAGATGATGTATTATAGAATTGTGCAACTGAATCCTATATAATCTTATTAACCAATGTCACTCAATAATTCAATTAAAAGAAAAAAAGCCAATGTCCCAGTTGGAGACCAGTCAAACGAGAAAGAATTATCTCTTGCTTGGTAGACGGTCACCTTTTTCGTTCTACTCAGACCTTCCATTGATTAGCTGAAACCCACTCACATTAGGAAGGAAAATCTTCTTTACTCAGGCTACTGATTTAAATGTTAATCTCATCCCAAAGCCCTCTCACAGAAATGCTGAGAATAAAAAATTTAAATGAAATAATATGTTACTATATAAAGTATATAGAACAATGGAAGGAAATGGAGAAACCAGAAATAAACTCATGGATATATATGTAAATAACCTTGGAAATTCACATGTCCAAGAATGAAATCAGACCTTTTTATCTTACACCATATACAAAAATTAATTAATTAAAAAAAGATTAAAGACTTAAATATAAACCCAGAACTATAAAACTTATAGAAGAAAATGGAGATAGTTAATTTTATGTGTCAACTTGACTGGGCTCAGGAATATCCAGATAGCTGTTAAAACATTATTTATGAGTATTTCTTTGAGGGTATCTTTGGAATAAATTAACATCTGAATCAGCAATTGAGGAAAGAAGATCACCCTACAAATGCGAGTGGACACCATCCAATGTGTTGCCCTGAAATAAACAAAAAGTTGAAAGAACGGCAAATTTGCTCTTTCTACTTAAGCTGAAACACCCATCTTCTCCTACCCTTGAACATTGGCACTCCTGGTTATCAGGTTTTTAAACTCAGATTGGGATTTATATCATTTCCTACCTCCCCAGTTCTTAGGCCTTCAGAATCAGACAGGTTTTGCACTTTGCAGATGGAAGATCTTGATATTTCCTGGCCCCCATACCCTGTGAGTTTATTCCTATTATATTATCCTGTTTTATCTATCTATCTATCTACCTATCAATCTATCTATCTATCTATCTATCAATCATGTATTTATCTATCTATTTATCTATCTGTCTGTCTTTTATGTGCCCTGGTGTTTTTTTCTCTCTGGTGAGACCTAGTACAAAAACATAGGGGGAAAACTTCATAACATTAATTTTGGCAATGATTTTTTGACTATGACACCAAAAGCAAGGGAACAAGAGCAAAAATATGTAAGTGGGACAATATCAAACTAAAATCCTCTGGGCAGTATAGGCAAAAATCAAGTGTAGAAAGGCAGCTTGTGGAAAGAAATAAAATATTTGCAACCCATATACTTAATAAGAGTTTAATTTCCAAAGTAAATAAGGGGCTCTACCAACTTAGTAGTAGAAAACAAACTAACCCAATTAAAAGATAGGCAAAAAACTTCAATATACATTTTTTTCAAAAGAAGATATACTAGTGGACAACTAGGCATATGAAAAGACGCACACCAGTAATTATTAGGAAAATGTACATCAAAATTACAATGAGATCATCTCACATGTGTTAGAATGGCATTATTTTAAAAAAAAACAAATAAAAAATGTGGATGTAACAGATGCAAAGAAATTAGAACCCCTGTGCACTGTTGGTGAAAATGTGAAATGGTACAACTGCTATGGGTAAGCCTTTGTCTTGATTATGATTTTTATTTTATGTCTTGGGTGTGGATATTTCTATGATAATGGAGACCATATATGGCATGTGAAATGAAGCATATCTTTATTGAGTTTGGTTTGAAGATAACTAAGCTACATTGACCTAATAAAAGAAGGGTTTCAGAGATGTTTTCAGGACCCATGGCCTCAATTAAGGTTTGGAACTCAAGCCTCAGATAAGATAAAATACTACATTCATTATTCTTTTTTTAAGAACATTTTTGAATTTTTTTATTTAGTTATTTTTCAAGTACAGTTTTCTGTTTATTTCTCCCATTCCAGCCCACCCCTCCCCCATGCACCCCACCTCCCTCCCATTTCTACCTCCCTTAGTTATTGTCCCTGTGTCCTTTATACTTGTTCCTCTATATCCCTCCCATTTTTTCCCCTTAAATTCCCTCCCCTCTCCCCTCTGGTCATTGTCCCCTTGTTCTCTATTTCAGTGTATTTATTTTTATTTTGCTTGCCTGTCTGTTTTGTTGTTTAGCTTCCTGTTAAAGGTGAGATCATATGGTATTTGTCTTTCAATGCCTGGCTTATTTCACTCAGCATAATGCTTTCCAGTTCCATCCATGTTGTTGCAGAGGGTAGTAGTCCCTTCTTTCTCTCATTATTCTTTCTTTATATCAGAGTGGGGACCTTGTGAAGAGAGACTACAAATGATAATCAAATCCATGTGTCAACTCTCCTTTCTGTTTTTTAACTTAGGATTTTCATAAATGCTTAGATTTGATTGATTAATATTTTGTTCTAAAGTTTTACATCTTTGTTCATGTGATATTTGTTCCTAGCAATTTCTTCTATTACTAAGCTATTATGTGTTAGATTTTTTTCAAAGTTAGGGAAATTTGACAAAGACATTTATTTAAATTATAGAATATTCTAAATAACACAAAGATGTGTAATTTTGGAAATTTTGAATGAATATATATATATAATCTATAATTTTTGCCCTAAATACAATTCTGGACAATTTCATGGGTTTTTTAATGTCTTTAAGTTACTTTGGATTTTTGTATATACACTTAAGTCATTTTATTCATATGCATTTCTAAAAAAGTCCCCATTTCCCTGAAATTTCTTTACAGAAATTTTTGAAAAGGGAAAATCATTGTCAATTTTTTAAATGCCCTTATTCAGAGGAAAAAAAACAGAAATAACAAATTATTTACAAAATGGCATTAAAAGTTCTGGGTATAGCCAAATCTATAAAATAATTAGTTAACTTTATATACTAATATATGTATTTTTAACAATTATACACAGAATCCTGACATTTCTAGGAAATTCTGGTGTTTATTTTTTCTATGCCCCAGTTTCTGAATTTCTCAATATCTGTATATCTTTGACTCATGTTATCCTGTCGATAGGATCAGTTTTGTTGTGCTGTCTCAATTTGTTGTCATAGGCTGCTGTCAAACATATGAAAACTCTGCTGGTCCATTGTGGTGTCCTCTATAATATTTCTGACAGATGGATGGCCAAATATTTGCTCACATAGTTCAAAAAATAAATCACTAATCAATGAGACTTCTCATGTGAGGGGATAAAGTGAGTGTAACATTCTTCGGTATATTTGTTTAAAGTCAGCTGAATGCTGCTTTTCATTTTCCTCTCAACTTCAGACTCCTCATATTCCTCAGGATATCTTCCATGCTTATGGTTATAAATCATTAATACTGCCATTATAACTTTTCTGAATCATTATCCATAGCTAAGATGAAATGCTATGCAGGGTCTTTGGTTGCAGTCCTCAGTATCACCTCTTCACAATTTCAAACTGTAAGAGATTATACAGAGTTTCTTAGAAAATTAAATTAATATGTATGTGAAATATAATAAATGCCAGTACCATAATTAAGGAAAAAAACATGTACCTAAAGAAAATTATACAACTTCTCCCTGTTATTTTCCTCTTCAGCCAATTCTAATAACAAAAATTCTCAAACTTGTCATTCCCTTTAGAGGTTTTTTCAGTAAATCATTGATTAACAATGAGACATTGTAGAATTCACAGGAACAAGTATAAAGGACACATGTACAAAAACTAACAGGGGTGGAAATGGGAGGGAGGTGGGGAGCACTGGGGGTGGGCTGGGATGGGAGTAAAAGACAGAAAACTGTGCTTGAACAATAATTATATAAAAAACAATGAGACATTTAATTAATATTATTTTTACATAATTTCCTTCTGGAATCAGTAAAATATTATAGAAAACAAACTAATACTGAGGAGTAAGTAAGGGGAAACACCCTCTGGAGTGAATTCCATGGTAAATACTGACCCATCCCAACCATTTTCTACAAATGAAATCTGTGACTTTACTCAAGACCCATAGTGCACTTACTTACATCAAAGCAACTGTCAGAACAGTTCTTTTGAGAGCTGATTTTGTAGAAATCTTTAAAAAGAGGAAGGAGCTAAGGGGCTTGAATAAGCAAAATTGAGGTCTGTTTTCAGTCTTGTTACTCAATTCAAGTCACTAAATATGTACACTTTGGGGGGTAAGAAGGAATGTTTCTCATAGTCTTGGCAATTATCTGCTTAGAATAGCTCATTTTAGAGCCCAACAGTTTAAATCAAAAGTCTATAGCAAAGAATAGCAGCCCTGAATAAATGCTTTTGTTGATTTTTTTATCTACTTAAAACAATGTGAAGAGAATTTGGTCCCCTAGATTTGTTTGCATGGAAACATTTGCTTTACATATGTAAAAACATCTCCCTGGAGCATGAATATGGCATATTAATCTTCAAAGAAACCATGCCTTCTTATGCACTATAAAAGCCAAGTCTAAAACGAAAGCTTTCAAGTTTATTGACTCTGGAGCTATTTTGATATTTTTCCACCCTGTCATAAATGCCCTTTTTCTAATTCAACACTGGAAATAAAAAAGCAAATTCTGTCAGCATAAGTCACCTAAGACACAACATCTGTGCTTATCTTGCTCATAGTTTTCTAACACCCTAGATATTCTGAATAACTGAACCTACTGGACCCCTACCAAGTTATCTATCTCAGACTGCTGCTGTGCTGTAAATTCATACTGAAAGCTATTATATTCTCTTGAATTGTTTCAGCTCCCCAGATAAAATGGAACTTTTCCACAGATTCCCCTGTCAACTTCAACCTGGAGATAGGATTTAGGAAGGTTGTATATACCTTAGTCTACTGACAGAGAGCAATTTCCTCACCATCTTCAGAACACCCTTCCTCAAACGCAGAATGAAAAAAGGAGCACACATATTCTGGTAATAAGGCTTTCCTATTACAGGTTCAGAAAGGTTGTCTTTAGACGCTTTCATCTTTTAAAGTTCTGATACGTAGACTCAGAAGGACTCACAGCAGTTTCTTGTTAAGCAGCCTTCTAGCTTGCCATCTAGTATAGCAATTTGGCAGTTATCTTCTCAAAGACACATCAGTTTATGTTCTAAATCATTCATTTGTACATTTAAGTTTGAGCTTATCAGAATAGAAAATAGTTTCCACATTGTATTTGAGAAAGGCTAACATCTCTTTGAACTGGTATTTCAAGGGGTCTTAGCAAATGGGTATCACAGTAGACTCTCAACCAATTCCGAATGCAGGTGTTCAAAAACAAACCCGGTTTGATCAAATAGTTTCTTACCAATTGACTAAAATGGAGTTTGCATTGGATAGAGTGTTAAGAAGTTTATTTATTAAAATAAGTAAAAGCAGGGCAAAGAAAGGAAAAAAGGAATGGGTAATTAACCTTCTCAGAATGCTTGGGACGCAGGGTTCCTGCATGTGGTAGTTCTAGTTCTAAAACTGGAGAATCTTGGGAAAACCAAATGAGGTGGTTACCCTAAATCATTTATTTATGTTACTTTAATTTTTTAATTAATTTAATTGTATTTATTTAGTTTTTTCTAAGCCTTATGGAAGTATGATTGACAAATATTTATATACTCAAGTTATACAACATGGTGTGTTTTCTTCATCATGGTGTTTTGATATACACATAAATTTTGAAATGATTACTACTACTCAGGTAATTGATATATTCACTATCTATCATAATTAATATTTTTGTAATGTATACTTAAAGTGGACTACTCTAATTCTTACCTGCCCTCAAAAGTAACTCTACCCCTACTTTTTAAAATACGCTTGTAGGAAAAATTGTCACTTACCTCTTCAACAAATAAACTACCTGTTTATTTCATTCCAATAAACTGGAATGGAATAAAATAATATTTCCTTTCTTGGAATACCAATTCTACCCATAAACAAACATGGTTAAACTCAGTTTGTCTTTTTAAAATTTAAATGTTCTTTGTTTAGATTAAATTTAAATTAAATGTTTTAAATCTTTAAATTTAAAAATTTCAAATGTTTATTTGAAAAGAATTTTTCAAATAAAATTGTTGCTAAGGATATAAAGGACATTCTAGTTGACACTGGTTTAAATTCCAACTCTTCCACGTGCCAATGGACACACATCCTTCAGAATCCAGGGTGACTAGGCAAGTACCAGCTAGCCCTGTCTACTCTATTAAGTTCTTAACTGCATAGTAGAGAAGATGTGCTTGAATGTCACTTCAAAATAACATTTTAAAAAACTTGATATTTTATAGGCTATCAGTTTTGACAGTGAGAAGTAAAGATTTAACCATCCCTGTTGCTATGGCCTCAAGGTACCTTTGTAGAAAATTAATAAAAATTGTTTCCACAGGTAAATCTTAAGCAATAAAAAACTAAGCAACATCTGTGTCAAAGGAAACTCTAAGAGAGTTAAGTCTTCATTGTTTGACCTGAAAACTACCACAGCTTGTTTGAATTTACATGGCCACCTGTCACAACTGTGCTTGAAATTCTTCTAAAACAGTAGGAGTTTGACACATAAATAGAATATGCAGGATTTAAATTACTGGAGACTGTGAGGCCACCTTAATGAATGTGAAAGTTTTCAAAATGCAAATAACAGAGCTCAGAGTCTCCTCTAAAGCCAAGTAATCCTCCCTGTTGACAGCCGCCTAGAATTCATATAAGGAGGTTAAACATAAAAATGACAATATCATCACTGGATTTCTAACAAAGTTAACTTGTACTTATTAATTAAATTACATTCTTAAATCTTCACTTTGCAGATACACAAATAATTTGCTATTGGTACATAAAGATTATTGAGTCAGTTTTTCACCTGAGCATGGCAGGTAGTCAACTGGACAGTGCAATGAGTGGCTTTGCCTAAGATATTTTTCTTAAATGTGTTAGCGGTCTTACCATAACCAACACTGGAGGCTGAAATTCCACAACACATGAAGCCATCCCTTGATTAAAATGTTCCTCTTTCAAAATACCTCAGAAAGTTGACAAAGTCACTGATGCTAAATGTGAATTAGTTTAAGAATTACCTTTTTTGCTCTCCATCTTCCTTCTGTCCTCCGACATACTTCACAGCTCCCAGGGATGATAAAACTGATACTTTAAGAGTAGAGCATGAGCAAGAAGGAGGAATTATGTAATTAGTTAACTCTGTCTGAGAAAGCTGTTTATGAAATCTTCTGTCATAGTCTCCATATCTAACTACTTTTCATAGATGTACCCCAAGTCCCTAACCCAGCCAGTCTCAGCCTTGGCTCCCTCCTATAGTAAACATCTCTCACTCTACGGTGTGTTGCATATTGAACTTCATGACTTTCCTTAACATTTATTTACATTTTATCTTGGCCTAGGTTTTAATTTCCAGAAATGAGCCTTTATTTCTTTACCTCCAAATCCCCTTTTTTTCCTTTAAAGACAAAGCTCTGTATCTCTTGTGACAATAACTTCCTTTGCAATCTTTTCTTAACTCTTTCATACATACTGCTTCACATCTGATTGTTAAATGTAATAAATTATCTGTTTAAATTATTAAGAACACCTAATAAAATACTCATAATTTATTATGTGCATACTCTGTATATACACACATATTTTTAAGTCTTATGTAAATTCACCATAAAAGGAACATCATTTTTCACATTTAATTTGTATCTTTCCAACAAATATATTTGTTTTTCTTTGCTCCTTGATATTGTCCGGGTTGATTGTAGATATACTGTAAACACCCATTTAATTTATCTGGGTTTCAAAATGCTTTGTGACTCACAGAAGTTAAGCTAGAAGGAGCCTTGGGAATCAAAGAATCCAACTACTTATTTTACAGATGAGTAAATTGAGGGTGAGAGATACTTACTGCCTCACCCTAGATCATGTACCCTGTAAGCAGCGAGTTAAAATTTGATTCAGGTCAGGTCAGTATGTTCAGTTGCATAGATTGTATAATACATAGGAGACCCTGAATATTAACCAGGCTGTGCACTAAGGCTCAGTTCTGCATCATCTGGATAAAGGGACACAAAAGCACCATCCACTTATAAGGTACTTGTAGGGCTTCAAGTGCCAGTGGTAGCAGGAGGTTGAGAGGAAGATGGCAATGAGAGAATGTTTCTAATTCAACTGAGGGCCCTGTGTAGGCTAGTGATGGGCCCAAGTCCAGGCTTATTATTTGCTAACCTAATGCTTTTTCAGGACTCTGTCTTTGTTTACACCCCATCTTTTTCCCTAATATGACATATTTTTAAAAATTACTCCCAGTTAAACATTACTCTGACTTTTATAATATTTTTCACAAATATATTAAAGAAATTCACCCAAATCCCATGGTTAATAGTTTCTATAATCCTACTACAAAAAGAGGGTATAAGCATTAGGTGATAAGCATTAGGTGTTGATTGATTATTGGACTGCACACTTGGACAGAAGACCTGACAGCAGGTCAGTAATGAACTCTTATAATTATTGGTCATGACAGTGATCTTCATACCTCCTCCTGAAAATTCAGCAACTTGCCTTACCCTCTGCTAATATTTGCTTAAATTAATTCCTATACCACATAACCGGAAATGCCGGTGTTTGAAATACACATTTCCATAAAAGCAATAGTATAATTATTTGCACTTTGTATTAATAATAACTTTGATTAGCCAAATTAAAATATTAGTAAGTGAAGCATTTATAAAAATTAGAGAAAAATGATAGCTTGGGGTCAAAAGCAGAATTTTGCAATTGACAATTCTTTATTTAAGTCTGAATTCTGCCAATAATATTTATTAATTGTGTGATTCTGAGAAAATCTATTTGTAAAATGAAAATAATAATAGCACTGCCTAGGGCTTTTTCAAAGTTACAAAAATTAAAGTATAGTGTGGCATATAGAAAATGATAAGCTAAATGATTAGCTATAATTATTGAAGTTCTACATTCATAATTTACATGTAGCTTCTATTTTCCTTAAAACATATAACTCTTTACTGATAACCAGGAAACTTAAGGATACTCTAATAAATAATCAAGAATAAATGGTCTCTCCAAAAAGCCATATTTAAAAAGGTTTACTAGAAGGTTTATATTTATGTAGGTGAGTGATATAACCTTTGAATTTTTTGAAAGTTGTGAACTAGGATTTGATTCATAAGGTAAGGAAAATCAGTATTTGTTATGAGATCACTTAAATGTTAAAATGTAAATACCATCTTGGAGATGTTCCTGTAATTTTCTGCATCTCAAAATGAAACCGATTACATATTTTCAAGAAAAATGACATAGTACAGTCTATGAAACTGTATTACTCTATCTTCTGTAGGAAGCAAAGACAAAATATAATAATTCATATAAGAGTTCATTTTTGTCTGGGGGAGCCACAATCAACCACCTCAAGGAGCTTAATTACTCTGTGAATGAGTATAAGGATGAATAAGAGGACCAGTGCATATTAGTAGCACTATTCCTCCTATAACAAGTTTAGAGGAGGAAGTGTGGCATCCTATCTTCTCCCCTAACCTAGACATTGGAAAATAGATGATGTCATTGTGCCTGCAGTATAGAGCCAGACTTCCTGGAAAAATTAACAAATTAGCAAATTGCTACTCCTTCTCTTTTGAGGATATATGAGTTGAAATGTTGGAGACCTCCCATCCAAGCACAGCCCGACCCTGTGTTAACTTCCAACATCCAACAAGATTGGGCACATTGAGGTGAAATAAGGGTTCCTTGAAAAATTAAGAATAGAGTTACCATATGACCCAGCAATCCATCATCTGGCCATCTACACTACAATATTTGAAAACATTTATTTGTAAAGCTATATATACCCCTATGTTCCTTGTAGCATTATACATGGTGGCCAAGATATGGAAGCAACCAAAGTGTCCTTCAATAGATGACTGGATAAAGAATATGTGGTGTACACATACAATGGAATATTACTCAACCATAAGAAAACATGAATCACTGTGGAAAACAGTATGGAATTTCCTCAAGAAATTAAACATGGAACTGCCTTTTGATACAGTGATTCCACAGCTGGGCTTATATCCTAAGAATCCTGAAACAGCAATTCAAAAGGACTTATACACCACTATGTTCATAGTACCATTATTTACAAGAGGCTGTACTGGAAACAGCCCAGGTGCCCATTGGTAAATGAGTGGATCAAAAACTATGCTACACTTACACAATGGAAAACCACACAGCAGAAAGAAAGAAGGAGCTCCTACCCTTCATGACAGCATAGATAGAACTGGAGAGCATTATGCTAAGTAAAATAAGCAGTGAAAGGCAAAGTACAATATGATCTCACCCATAAGTAGAATCTAGTCAACAAAACAAACAAAGGAGCAAAATAGAAGCAGAAGCATGGAAACAAGGAACAGAATGACGGTGACCAGAGGGAAAGGAAAAAGAGGATAATGAAGGAAAGAAGAGAAGGGTCTAGACAAAAAACATGTGAGTGATCTATGGACATGGACAACAGGGTGGGGATTGACTGTGGGAGTGGGGGAGGGTGGGTGGGCAGTAGAGAGTAATGAGGGAAAATTGGGACAACTGTAATAGAACAACAAGACAAGACAAAAAAAGATGAAATATTGCCATTGGTAACAGCATGGTTGGATCTTGAGAATATTATGTGAAATAAGTCCGATAGAAAAAGTCAAGAACCATATGATTTCACTCGTATGCAAGCTATATAATTGAAATCAATAACTGAACAAACAAGAAAAACAAACAAAAACTCATTGGCACAGACAACACTATGGTGGTTACTGGAGAGAAAGGAGGATGAGGAGAAGGTAGTAAAGGGTAGAGGGGGACAAACATATGGTGACAGAGGAGACTTCAGGTAGTAAACAAACAATACAATATATAGATGATGGATCATAGAATTGCACACTGAAATCTATATAATTTTATTAACCAATGTCACCCCAATAAACTTAATATTTTCTTAAAAAGTGAAAAAAGAAAGGTTTAAGAGAAAACACACAAGTACTCCATTTACTAGCCAAATAAATTATTGTATATTCCTGACTCGGAAACACTTTTTGTTATATTATGGAATGGCTCTTGCCAAATGAAGAAAGCAAAGATCAGAACAGTATTTTGAAATAATACTTTTGTGTAAAATAGGAGGGATAGAAACAATAGAAGTAGATTTACTTATGTAAGCATAATCTCCAGAGGAGTGTGCAAGAAATTGGCACTTCACCTTCCTCAGACAGGGAATGAGTGGTTGGAGCACATGCATGGCAGAAAGATTTCACCGAATCTTCTTCAGACTTTGAATAATGTGACAGGCCTGCTTATTCAAAAATAAATAAAATTAAAGTAAATGTGGAAGATACTTTTACATTTGTTCTCAAACAACATCTATTCTGATGTAAGCCACTGCCTCTTGTCTGTTTTATTCTAAATAGAAAATGGCATATGTCCCATGGGATTTCTATGCTATTACCTTATATCACAGAACCCCCTTCTAATAACAACATCACCTTTCAGAGGCCTCTAGAAGCTATATATAATTTGAGTATTAAAGTTGCACAACATTTCATAATATTTGCCTACACCTTTCAGCCAGATGTTTTGTAAAACTTTCTACTCTTCTGAAGACACAGAGCCATGGTCTTCCTAGACCTTGAACTGTGATTTATTTTCTCTTTCTTAGTTTGACCCACTTCTGCATCTTGGAGACTGCTAACTCTATGCCCTTGAGGATGAGAATAAATAAAACCTTGCAGGCTCTTGGAATATAAATTATAAGAAAGTGAACAAGATTAAGTGTGGTGTAGAAAATCAACTTCCTCTTTCATGATGTAAGCTTTCAGAAGTTTCCCTTTTGTATTTTTCTAATCTATGAATCAAAGAACTGAAGTATTGAGGCAACCTTTCAAACTGTGTGCCATTTGTCCACTTCATAATATTTTGGATAACCATTTTAAACTTCTCACACAAATAGTCTATTTAGAATAAGAGAGAATAAATTCTTATCCTAAGGCATCTGGTAATGAAGGAAAAATTCCATTTGTTTATTATCTCCCCCTAAAAAATCAGTCTATATATATGTGTGTGTGTGTATTTTAATATAAATATGCATGAAAATTTTT